ATTAAATAAAATTAATATTTTTAAAAATAATATGTTATAATTTTTAATAACCTTAATATTTTAACTGTGGGATAACCCTGCGCCACGGACCCTTTCAATTGATTTCCTTTTCCATGAACAATTCAATTCATCCATCCTTGTAAAATCGTCATCATCACCAATTCATCCTTGTAAAAGGGAAAATGCTTTTTTCGCGAATTTTCGTTTTTTCCATAAATAAATACTCTCTCTTTTTATTATTTATTTTTAATGTAATAATAGTTTAATTTTTTATTTTTTAATATGAATTTTAGATAAAAATTTAACATATTATATAAATAATATTGAAATTTTTTGTATTAAATAAAAGTACTCAACAACAATTTTATGTAGGAAGAAAAAAAATTTTAATTATTATTTATATAAATTATTAAATTTTCATTTAAATTTTATGTTCAAAAAATAAAAAAATCAAATTAAATTAAATCAACTAAAACCGAACAGATTAAGTACTACTAATGCATATTAATTCTAACTCCTATATCCTAACAAAATTAGATTTTTAATTTTAAAAATAGTTCACTTAATATTTTGAAAAATAATTATTGTATTCAATATTTTGTTTATCATACATAACAAATTTTAAGTTGATATAATATATATAACTATTCAATTAAAGAACTTACTTTCTAATATATATTTAACGTTATTAAATTTTAAATAATCAATAATTTAATTAAATATATTCAACTAATTTAAAATTTGATTTGTATAATAATTTAAATAAATAAAATATTAATTCTAACTACTTAAGTTTCAAAATATTAATCAAATGTTGAGATTTTTGCAACTTTAACATTATTAATTTTAAAGTTAAGATTAATATACACTTTTTCTCTTTCTCTATTCTCACTAATATTTTCTATCACTAATGTTTTCTCTTTGTAGCTGCTCCCTTCCCTTCCCTTCCTTTTCCTTGAACTTCTCTTCTTTTCCTTCACCCTAATCTTCATCTCTCTTTCCCTCAATAGTTAGGGGAAATGGCTAAAAATGAGAGTTCTATTATCTACTATGAGAATTACTCTCCCTCTTGTGAATGTTTTCCCCTTTTTTTTGAAACTTTTTGCCTTTGCTTTCTAGATGTTCTCATCAGAATTTCCTCTTGTTGAAAGAGGATGACAACAAATACTTGAGGTTTGTTGGGCTCAAATTGTTGTACTTGTTTCAACTATTAAAGGCCTTTGTTAAATTTTTTGCCTAAAAACTAATTTATTTTCGAATTAGATGGGTTGTGCTGTAATGTGGCTTAATTGCTAAATACAAGCTCAAATTTGGTTGCGATGTTCAATCAACATTAGATTTTTTTGATTTTGTATTGTCAAGCATTTTATAAGTATAATACAGCTGTATATATACTCATTCAAGTTGGTTATGTAATCCTTCATGCTCTTTTACATCAATGAAATTTTATTTTGAGAAAAGTGAAAATTATGATGAAATATTTCTTATACCCCTTAATGATATATATTCCATTTGGATATGTTGATTAAAAAAAAGTGAAAAGTATGAGTCTTGATATTTTCATTATTAAGATTCCTTATGAAATTGTTATTAAAGGTATGTTGATTTATTAAAAATATTTTAATTTTTTTGTATCAATTTTGACATTTTGATTATTAAAACATCTTATTTTTCTCAATTCTTTTTAGTTTTCATTAAAAAAATATTATTTTTCTTCGGTTAAAACTATAAATACACTAACAAGATCCCTTACACCAAAACCAATCCTTATCACTCCGATTCCAAAACAAATCACTTATCACTACTTTAAATTATATCTCTGAGAAGCCATGCTTCGTTGCTGGTCACTTCGCAAGAACTTTAGTCGTAAAATCCTTAACCTCGACCCCCACCACCACCAACAACAAATAAGAAATATTCCAAAACAGCTACATCGCCCCTGCGACGTTTTCATTAGCCATCGAGGGATTGACACAAAGAGAAGCATTTCTGGGTTGCTCTACAACCATCTAGTCCGCCTTGGGCTTAAACCATTTTTGGACAGCAAGAGCATGAAGCCTGGCGACCGGCTGTTCGACAAAATCAACGATGCCGTTCGACACTGCAAGGTTGGGGTTGCTGTCTTTTCGCCGCATTATTGTGAATCATACTTTTGTCTCCATGAGCTGGCTCTGATGATGGAAACTAGGAAGAAGGTCATTCCAATCTTTTGCGACGTGAAGCCGTCGCAGCTCCAGGTTAATGAAGATGGGTCTCGTCGAGTTGAGGAGCTGAAGAGGTTCCAATGGGCCGTCGAGGAGGCAAAATACACTGTTGGTCTCACATTTGACACATTGGGAGGGTTAGTATATACAGCAAATATAGGTCATAACACATATATGTCATGTTTGGTATTGGATGAATTGGTAACAAATAGCAAAAACATATAAGGAGATGTTATTATGTGTATTTCCTTTATCCTTTCAACTTATTAAAAGAAAAATGGTGCAAACATGGAGAATGTATTCCGTATGAAAATAATGGTCTTAATTAATTACAATATATATATATATATTTATATATAATTTCCTATATTGATGATCCTTTCTTTTGTTATCATAGGGATTTTTCGAAATTCTTGACGATCACTACAGAAGCAGTGATGAATTCCTTGCTAGAGATTGAAGAAGAAGAAGAAGACAAACGGAATAGGTGGCATATCAATCAATCATTGTTGTAAGGATCTTTCAGTTCTTAAGCATTTGATATTGATTAATGTAGGATGAACAAAGAATAACGTGAATGTATATATGGAGTAGCATTTGATTAATGCTTGTAGGATGAACAAATTAAAAAGTGATCAAATGTGAACATGTATATATATGTTAGAAACTTTTTATAACATTTTCTTTATTAGTGGAAAGAATAAAAAACCTAAGGATAGCGAGGGGTCATCGGTCTGCAACATCATCATGGACCAGCAAACAGAAGACAGCATTATGCAGAAGGCTACGTGTCCCCCCTGCGGATACAACTAAAGTGCAATGGAGCAAATTAACCTTGCAAAAACATCTGCACAACTACTGTACTCAAGACGCCTGCTTATGCTTATTCAGAACCAAACCTAGGGCCAGCCGGGGTTCCTGTTTTGTGATGAATTGCTGCAGATATTAGAAAACTGAAACCCAACCGCCAGTGTCTAGAATTTTCTTATATTAATAATGTTTGTTCAAGCTTAAATTATGGTTAAAGATGTTTAATGTTCTTTGATTTTCCAGCAACCTAATTCGGAGTTTATGTTCCAACACTGAAGATGCTTTGCAATTTCCCAATTGAACTCGAAATCAAAATGAAAAAGTAAAACTTGCTTATATTACTGTATTTATTTGACTAATTAAGAAGTATCGAGAAGATTTATGATCTTCATCCCTTTTTCTCCATTGAACACAAATGCGTCGACATTTGTTTTTCATATGTTTTCAGATTTTAAGGGTCTCAATGTATTATTTTATCTTTTTTTTATGGACCTCAATATATTGAAAATCTTTATCAGCATATCCAGAAAAGATTAATTCCATGATGCACGTATTGACCTCTTATTGTTTATTTTTAGTCATATCCAGAAAAATACTAAATTTGGAGACCTCGTCATGGACGTCAACTTCTAACATTAAAAATCTTGAGTAGGTATTGTCGTAGAATTGTTCGTTGTAGAACCATATATAAATAATTTGTTTAAGATAAAAGTTCTCTTGACAAAGGTTGAGGGTAAAATCCATTATATTCTCTAGCCTTTCTCCTATGGAACATTTTATTACTTGACATTCATTTCATGCAACGCAACTAATCGTTCCTAAGTTTTCTAAAACTATTTCCATATATTATTTCTTCTGCTAAAATTTGAAATTTAACAGAATGCCGCTATTAATAAGTTCGAGGGCTTAATTTCAACTTTATTTGATAAGCCATGAAGATTAGGAACTTATTTATCAGTTTTTAACGTTGAGAAACTTAACAATTTGGGGTAAAGTTTGAGAGCTTAAAATATGGTTTTCTTGCCCAAAGAAATTCAGCAATGATATAGGACAACACCATTTTACAGTTTTAACATGTCATTAAAATAAACAAATGAATGAATATATATATATTATTATTATGAGTAATTCTTTAAATAAAAAGAGTTAATTATATGAGAAAAAAAAAATTTAAGATGTCTTGATATCAAAAATATTAATAAATTCAATAATAATTATATGGTGAATTTAATAAAATTAAAACCTATACTATATTTTTTATATTTAATCATTATAATTAAATACCTCAATATTTTTAATGTAAAAATAGCCTAATTTTTCCTTTTTCTCTAATTATATAATGAAATGTTAAAATTTCATTTTTACAATTTCTTATGGCATTGTAATTATATTATTTTTAATCTAGACTTCAACTTCTGTTAGAGGTGGGTCAGCAAACGGCAAGAATAATGGCTTTTGGACAGGAAAGATGTCCCACCGACATTCTCAAACTCCAAGGTCCAATCCCCGACCCTTAAATTGTCGGAAAAGGGCTGTCCCATAAATATGATGTACATGATCCTATATGATCCTATAGCATCCATGCACCTTGTACGATCGATTTAGAAGGAGGGTGTATTGAGACTGTAGACGAATTCTTTGTTACCGTGTGAACGGGTATGCCGTTCAGGTGGTGGAACTACGACGGACGCCTTGGAGGAGGTTGTCTACTCTTGCCACAAAGGCCCACAACTGGATTAGTTGAAGTAGACGCGGGCGGCGTCTGAGGATACATTTCAAATAGCACATGGCAGACAACCTTCCATAGAGTTGAATTTAGAGGACAAAAATTTAGACCAATTATATGGGTGGTCACGTTATATAATTTTCATATGTTATTAAATGAATAATTTTTTTTTTG